TAAGCAGACAGCTCTACTAACTACCACCTTCACAAAACCCCTTTTGAACTCTCATACAAACTCTGTATAATTTACTCATTGCTGGTAGCAGACATTCTTGTAAGTGGCGGTGGACACTTGGAGGCCGTACGATCTAGACTTTTCCTTTGTTTTAAGGCTCCCGTAAGCAGACATTTGAAAGGAATTGGGCCTGACTTAAGAAGATACTCAAGAATTTGTAAACTGTATCACTGTTTTTTGTTGCAGCAAGACTGTTAGTTTTATATATACATGTACCTACCTTATAAATAATGCTATGTGTATATATACAGGAGAAATGATAAAAGAAAGAGAATCAACTAATCTTGAAATTTAATGTTCAAGATGGATTCCGCTCAAAGTTCGAGCAATAAGTGCAAAAATTATTTACTAAAAATCTACTCATATCACGGTAATTTTTGTAATACTATTTCAAATAACTAAGTTTGGTTCATTTTTCCAAGTGACCCCTTGATTAAATTCTCAAGCATTCTTGAGAAAGTTAATGTCAAACCTCACAAGAATGCTTAAAGCGTGTGTTATTGTGTTTTGAACTGACATGAAGTGTCTGTTTTAATTGAAGTATGGATAACTTCAAGTTCAATTTTACCTCGCGGGGTCAGCTTGAGAGCTTAAGTTTCGATTAGTTCTTCTTAACTGTATTCAGAATAGTACCATGCTAAGAGGGTTCTTTAGTAACTTAATTTTTGCTACTATTGCTTGAATATTCTGTAGAAATCATTTTAATCCTTTCCATTTCTAGGAATAAAAGAAAGCTTGAGCAAGCAAGAGAAAAACTTAAAGATACAGATTTAGCAAAGGACAAAGAAAAAGAGGAAAAGACAAAGAACGAATTACAAGGATTAGAGAAAAAGGCGAGTATTAATTTTTTCTTCCATTTTTTGGATTCAATATACATGTATCATGCTTCACAAAGAACTCCTGCATGTTACCTCACCTTTTCACCGAAACATAGCTGTGAATGGTTGCTTTGCACATACCCAGCAGTTTGTTATGGTTACATGTACATTTACTTGTCAAAGTGCAGAACTGTTCAGACTTACTCCTAGAGCTCTGCACACTCATGCAGTGAGTGCAGGACTCATACAAATATATGCAATTTCTTACACTCTCATGCTGAAACAATTATTTCTCACACATTTCAAGCTTTTTTTTAATATATAATAAACAGTTCTTTTTGAGGTACAGTAGAAAATTGCTATTAAAGTTAAGAAATTACTTAGATGGCCTCTTTCTAGAAATAATTCACTCTGGTTAAATTCTTTTATACCCACTTCAATCACTTTCCAAAAGTTGAAAGATCTTGAAAGACAGTCCAACATTCTCTTTCAGAGCCAGCATTACACTGGTCAGTGGGGGCTCACTAGTTTCTAGGGTCTCATTTCCACAAGAAGAGTATTTCTTAGACACTTCAAATGTATAAATGTAAAGGGGTGCATGCCCCCAGACTCCCCTAGTTTGCCTTCATCTTTACAATTGACAGTTGAAAATCTCACTCTTTTGGCAACAAATAAACCAGAGAGATCTACAGTTGTACACTTTCGTTAACCTGTTTACAGTTAGCTCTCAACTAGACACTCTAAGGCTTTCTTCACAAAACACAGCATTCATGAGGAGAGAGTACATAACACAAGCTTTTGCACTCTCATCCCTACATATGTACATGTAGTTTCTGTGGTTTACGCTTGGAACGCCTGGGAGCATGACCCCCCTTTTGGAGACTAAACAGCTTGCATTTTGTGACTCAGGCTTTCCTACTGAAGCCTGAGTAATAATGGTGACTGTAACGAGATTTGAGCACATTATTTTTATTTTATGAAAGTAAATCAGGGATGGCGCTAGGATTTTTCAGTCTGGGTCCAGGGACCCATATATCTGGCCAAATATGGGTCCCTAGCCTTTTTTGTGGGTCCAAATAATTATGTTGACAGCCCTCCAAAAGAAAACTTGTTGCTTTTCAAATGAATAGCAAATAAACCATTTAATTTCAATTACAAATATTTCAACTTAGACACATTGACATTTCATAATGAAACAAGGGGCAACTGAAAGATGGGTAGAGGGACACTAAGGCTTCTCTATTTTCTGCGACGATGCTGCTCTTTGAAGATTTCTTTTGCCCTCGCATTGTCACT